TACTTTTCTCCTCTTTAATTCTCTTTACAAACTCTCTGTTTTAAGTACTGTTGTCCTTTAAGCCAACAGCTAGCTGAATTTCAGGGCTTTTGGGGCTTGTTCTGTTTAGACAAGAAGTAGGGGAAATATGTAAGGAAATGTTTTATACAATCTCTTTCTAAAGTAATATATACTAAAAGCAACATTTTCAGAAGGGTTTTAGTGATTTAGAAGCCTCCATTTCATTTCCAACAGTAGTAATTTAGGCTATTGAAATTTCATTCATGCCAACAGGTCACAAGCATCTAAGCATCAATGGAAGTTCAGCTTCTGATTGTGCGTCAGTATGTAGAAGTGCACTGACAGAATGGTATCAGCAAAGCCACAGTGCTGTAGTTACACACACCCAGCCCCGTGGTGTGCTCTGCTTCCAGGGCAAAATCATCCTCATGGGAGCTATACAGGTAGAACTGTTGTATTAAGGTTTCAGTACAAAGTTTTGCAAGCAAATTTCCATGCGTAGACACTCCCTCAAGGACAGAGATACTTCTGCCACTTCTACCCACAGCTGTGCTTCTTGCAAAGCTGGTCAAGATGCACAAAGCATGGGTTTTGGAAGAATGTTAAGCCAAGCACACAAGCCTGGTGCCCAAGAAGTTTTGCCTTTCAGCCTATAGGCTCCCTTACCTCACCACCAACTCTTACTTCAATAGCTCTCCACTTGACAAACAACATTAACAGATACAGCTCCACGCAGCTTCAGGGCCTGGAGACAGTCTAGTTAGGGATGGACTTCCCCGCTTCAAGGAAGAGGTGCCTCAGTGAGAAAGAAATAGGCACAGGCTGCTGTAAGGCCAGGCAGTATGCTAAATACTAGCTGTTCAAATTCACTGTCCTCATTTCTTTCATGGAGAAGGCAGCCTGGGATCTCTGTTGTGCCATGATGTATTAGCATGCCCCACAGAATGAATGCAAAAGATATGCAAAGTTGAAAATATATTTTAAAAAATCTATCAGATAAAAGAAAACATAATTCAGCAGCATGGAGCACTGCTATGTGTAAGTAGGTTACTCAGGGCACAGCAAATGCCACTAAGCATGTTGGCTCTATTTGTCAAAATTAAACCTCTGAAATGGTGTAGGAACTTGTTCCATTCTGAAAAACGATGTTTGATAAATACAGGCTCATCTCCCAGCTGAAACAATAAACCAACCCCCTTTGTTGTGTTTGGATAGGGTCTTCCAAATTTTTTGTCCTGTCGTCCAAACAGACATTGTGTTTTGTATCTATTTCTGACAGCCCCTGACAGAACTTTCCAAGGACAGGAACTCTGAGGGATGCTTCCTATCGCAAATCATTCACTCCTTCGCAAGTTCACCCACATGACAGAGCTATGCTAATATATGCGCTGCCTCGAATGCAGATGGGAGTCCTACTGAAGTTAATGTTTTTCCAAAAGCTCTTTTTTTAGCCATGATAAAAACATTACATAGTTTTCTCTCCAATGACTGGTGTCATGTAATCTGCCTCGCAGCAGCTGTACTAGTAGGTACTGGTGTAGGCAGGGTAAACAGCCCTTATGATAAAAGCATGTAAGGTAGTATGAAAATTTTGTTCTGGTGAATGCTTTCTCACTGATAGCAGAGGGTGCCTGAATATTAACGGAGAAAGAAACCCCACCTTCTACCAGACAACATGCAAAACTTGGAAACTTAAACTATTCAATCTATTTTAAAGACTGTATATTTCAAACTTCATATGGCTATTAGTAAGCCTGACTTTTATCTTCTGTGGTCTTGGTGCTACAGGTAATGTGGAATTTACTAAAACCATACAGTGCTGGCAATAATAACATTATCTCTGCATGCAGAAGGAAAAGCCTGCTTTTCAAAGTAGCTTCTTCGTAATTTATTTTCTTTGTCTAACACTGTGCTCAAATTCTTTTTTCTCTCCCTATTGGGATTTTCCTTCAGGTGGCATCTAATATCAGCTAGAGCAAGGGGAAGGAAAATTACACTTGATCTGAGCTTAATATTTTTACATATTAAAACTGTACCATTTTAAGCTTGGAACATACTTAACAGTCTAACTCCCCCCAAAAAAATAGTTTGTTGTGTTATGATGAGTACTAGTTAGTGCCAATATAAATAATTTCCTTACTTTCAAGAAAGCACGTACATACTGTAAGGAACACAAAGACTCTGTATTTCAGTCTACAGTGTGATAATGATTAAGTTATAGTAAAAAATAATCTTTCAAATATAATGATTTTATCATTAAAGTAAACATTGGCAACACCAATGCAAGTAGATAAAGATATTTTAACGGACATTATTGATATTTTGTATTTCTAAGCTAGTTGAGGTACCTAGGAACTATACTTATTTACAGGGAAATTGGATTTTTCAGTCTCCTGGGAAAGATGTAACTTGCCACATAAGTAAGGAAAGAATTTATAAGTCAGCAGAGAAGCAGCAGCATCCCTTATCAGTTCATTCTGGGACACATTTTCAGGGAAATATGTAATGATGGGTTTCTCACAGGATTATCCCAAGATGTTTTTATGGGAATAACTGCTTTGAATACCCACATTCAAACTTAATTGTTTCCTTAAAAGTTTGAATACATGTCTGTTCATACAACTTTAGACTCTAATTCAGAATCTTACTATGCATATGAAATTTTCCAGAGAGGCTCTTACTATAGCAGTGGCTTTTAAGAATGTGTTGTGTTCAGTCTTTCCATGAATATCTCATGGTTTCTAGAAATGTGTACTTTATTTCTATTAGCTGGTCTAAGAGTTTAAACAACTCACTTCTGAAATGATAACTGTACGTACTCCCTGTTCATCACTTCTTTATGAGTGGAACACAGGTCATGCCCACCTCCTGATTTTATGCCCCAATTTTATAATCTGTAACCGTACCATTCTGTTTGCAAATTGTCCACTGAAATTTGTGAATAGTCACTATTATTCCCCTCACTAACAAACACATTTTCAAAATTACCTTGAACACTCTTATGCAACCTTACTGGTGCTATTGTATAGAATATGTTGTTGTTTTGTTTTTTTTTTTAAATAAGTATTAGTTAAGCATTTTTTAATAAATTAATGAAAACAGACAAAATAATGCCTACTATTTTGAAGATTCATTTTTTATCTAACACCAAGAATACTAGGGGAAAGTGGATGTGCACATTTTACATTGGTGACCCCAATGAGGTACTTTAGCTTTGCAAAAATGTAAGCAGCAGAACCTTAGGGCTGAGAAGTTTGCTTGACCAAAATAAAGGGCATTATATTAATTCTTAGACCTCGGTTTTCCAGAAGAATCCTGGTAATTCCGTTTCCTTTTTAGAGAAGAAACCAAGATGCATCAAGTCCTTTTGTGTTAGAATATTTGCATTTTTCCTGTTTTTTATTGCTATTGAAGGGCAAAGCTTTCTTCTAATGAGAACATAGCCACATAATATATGTGGTAATAAATAAAAGTACGTGCAGTAGCCAGTTAGGACACTATTTTACTGTATTAACCAATGCAGTTAAGAGAGATGTAGAACCCACGTATGAAAATGACAGAAAACAGGTTACTGGGAATGTTGGAAGAGAGATGGGATTCTCACTGGATAATGTTTCTGGACACTACTGCTTATGACAGAATATATTACATTTATAGAGCAAGTAAATCTTTTGTTTCTATTAATAGAGAGTACTGACTTTATGTCCTGTGTCCCCTTTTGAACGCCTATGGCTTCCTGTAGTAAATTCAATGTGATCTTTGAGAAACAAACCAAGCAAAAGCAACCACAACTGGTTTAATCCCCAAACCACCTATTAACCAGCCATCTAGCCAAATCCTGGCCGTCTAGGCAGGAATATGGGATATTACTGGAGCAGAACCAAGAGTGGCATGGTTTTTCTCTTTGCCGACTTTCTGCTTCTGGTACTTTTAGTCTTTCTCTAAGTGAGGTAGTGTCTTCTGGGTTTTTGGAAATGGTTGCATCAGCCAGCAAAATCGTATCGTGGGCCATCCTTGCATTCTTAGTGAGACAAGGAACACAAAATCTGAGTTCCTTGCTCCCATAAGCTGCAGTCTGACAAGAGTTGAGTGTCTCTACCTTAGACCCAGGGTTATAAATTGATGTTCTGCAAATTCAATTAATTAATTGTGTGTGATAACTTAAAAGAACCACAAATTTTTTTCCTATGGGGTTTTTGTAATTTTCTTTACATGTTTTACAGCTGAATGAGGTACATGGTACACTTTGATTCAAGTTTTTATTTTATGTTACAATGCAGGTAGTATGTGGTGGCTGATGAAGTTGAAGAATGCCTTAAAGTGAAGCAAACGTCTAAGAAAATATAAAGCACAGCTGTGAATGGTATTTTTTCTTGGTATTTTAAGTTAGTGAGAGACAGAAAATAACACAGAATTTGGCTTTAATGATATGATTTTTCTTTTGTAAATTTAACATCTTTCTATTGAAACGTTGCCAATAGGCAATAGAAAGTCAGTAAAACAGAAAACAAACTGAATAATCCTGGTCCTTTGCTCAGAACATGCTTGGGGAACAGGACCAAGATGACTGCTTCAGAAGACAGGAGATACACAGTGAAAACAGCCAGTTCCCAACTCCTAACTGTGTTTGAGTGAAATGTCCTGTTACTCTCTAATATTTTTCTCTTAAAGTTATTACGTTTTATACTGTGTTGTAGGTTTACTGTTAACATGCACGTTCAGCATTTGGTTAAATGGAAATATATTTAGTCAGGTAAGTTGATAATAATATAAGATGAGTTAACATGTATTTTTATTTTTATAGAAGCAGAGTTCAAATTTGTCATTTTTAATGCCTCAGCCTCTTTATAGAGAAGGTTTGTATATATGGTAATAAAACTATTTAGATGTTTTTGAGATGTTATAACTTTGCAGAAATGCAAATAGAGAAAACTTTTTTTAAAGCTTGCTTAATAGCAAAAACTGGTTTTAGTTAATGCCACGCTGAGCTGCATTCTGTGAAGAATATAGGCTGTTCAACATATTCATACATGACTATAATGGAGGGTGAAAGTAAAGTGATGAAGTTTGCTTGTATATTAAAGAGGTTATTAAAGATAAGCACTGATTGCGAAGTGCATCAGAAAGACTTTAAGAGGTTAAGGATGTGATTCAGCTCCATATGATCACTCCTAAACTTAGATGTCTACGTGGAAACAGGTTGGCTGATTTCCTGTTGTAATCAGTGGAAAGCTGGTCAATGCAGGCAGTGGGTCTTTGAGAGAGATTCAACTAATTACGGGCAATATGATAAGGCAATATCATGAAAAGAGATGGAAGTAGAGTATTGTGCAGCCAGTGAGACTTCACACTGACAGATTAGCCAGCACCTTAAAAGAGAATAAGAAAATGCATATGAATAACAGAAGAAGTAAGGTATGAAAAGTTCTTTTAAGTAATTTCTTGGACAATGTTTCTAGACTCCATGCTACCTTGCTTCAGACAAGTCAAATTAAATTAGCTGAAGTTGCAATGCCATCAACACTCTCCTGCTGGTGGCTGCCAGAGCCAGGGGCATCCAGATAGCACACAGATGACACTGTCCCCATCTGTGTCTGCCACCTGGCACTGCAAAGCAAGAGAACGGGTACAGCACTGCCTTATAGAGGTGTGGGATGGACTGAGCTGGCCAGATAGATGAGTGAACTGTAGACTTCACAAATGAGACCCAAAACATCTGTAGGCTGAGCTTGATCCGGAGTTTGTATTTTGAGGAACTGAATCTCCTCTTTCAAACCTCAACACGGCCCACTAACAATGAATAAAAGTGTTCAGCAGCGGTGTTCTGTGTTATGTCACGTCGATACTAATGCCATGCAACTGCCTTTAGCTCTGCTAAACTGGGGTGAAGTCACTAGTTCAGCTCAAAAAGCAGAAAGTATTAGCATGGAAAGGCCACGGGTATAAGGAACTGCACTGAGAATAGACTTATTTATTTTATCCAAGGCAGTTATAAATAACTGCCACTTTTCAGAGATATTGTATTATGTGTCATGAAAACTAATTTTAAAAGAGCAATTGAATAATCCTTCTGTAAGGACAAAAGATATTGGAAAGACTGCTATGTGTGTGAACCAAAAAAGGCCTTGACCTTTACTAGCTGAATGGGTGTTTATTAAGCTGTAAACAACCACCGATTATCTGTACTGATAATTAAAAAATTTTTCACTCATCTCAGATAAGCTCCAAAATGTCAAAGGTTAGCTTAGGTGCTAGGTATGGACAAGAGATAACCTCTAAACATACATATGTTTCTGCTATACTCTTTTAAGTATAATTACCTAAGTGTATTAATTAAACTTGCCTGGTGATATTTTTATTACGAAAGATGTCTGAGCCTGGAAAAACCTTGACTATAAACTTTAAACAGCAGGTTGCAGAGTTGGAAGCTGAAAAAAGAGGGAACTTTCTTTCTTATTCATACTGAAAATCTGCAGCTGAAGTATAACAAAAGACCATAAATATTATATCCAGGTAGAAGAATTCTGGAGACAACTGCATGTATTTTACAGACATGAAAGTGTGTGAAGAGACTGACAGGAGGACAAACAACATTCAACAAATACGGTTTAGTGTATAATAAAAGTATCTGGCAGTACTATCTTGGACTGATCAGTGTGAAATGGCAGAGAGAAAAATTAGTCATTTGCTGTGCTGAAGTTAAAGAGAGGCATGACTTTTCCACCACATGTATGAATAGCTTCTTTCAGACCCATCATGCTCTTTCTTTCCCCACTTCTGAAATATTCTGTAGCAGCTTTCCTAATCAAGCATTTTGTTGAGAAGATGAAGAAATAAAAAGTATGAAAAAGCATTTGTCAGGAAGAGGAAAATCATGATGGATGCCAGTATTCCAAACTTTTTACCGTGAACATTTCCCATATCTAAATTTATTTCTGTGAATCTTCAAATGAAATTGTTGCCTAAGAAACAAAATATAAGTGTTTAAATATTGCATCTTTGGCAAACTGCTTTGTGTGAATTTCATTGCCTTGTATAACTTAGATGTGGCATTGTATTAACCAGGCTATCAATAATCCCGTGGTAGAAAGTCTTTGTCATTAGACTCTACATTTTCAAACTGATACATGAAAGATCTTTCTGTACTGAACAATGATGTTAATAGCTGTCCCATGGGCAAGACAACTGTATTCACATAAAGCAATTTCCCAAAAGTTTGCAAGCCAGAAGACTGCCTAAATTAATCAGATACTTTATCCAACTGATTTTGCTTGACAAGCTGTAGTCATTAACTTTAAATGATCTATTTTAAACATAACTAAGGCATTAATCATCATCAAATCTTACACCTCTACCAATTTCAAAGTTGTCTTGAGTTTTTACAGTATACAAGCAATTAAAAATGACTTAAAATACTCAATCTAAAGATTTTATAACCACCATCTAGAATTACTTAAAATCTTTAAACACAAGGCATTTTAGTCAAAAATATTCTAGAAAAAACTTCCCAAGTGATAGCAGAAGCCAAGATACATATTCAGGTGATTTAAATTCCAACCTAAGTGCTGTGGCTCTAGGCAGGTCCTTGGTAGCACCCTACTGTGGCCCTACAAAATGCTCTCGGAGACCCAGATGGAGAACCGGCTGCATGTGCCAACAATACAAAGCCTTCATATCACGATGACGCTATGGTGCACCAAGCAGGTGGTGTACAATATTGCTGTGCAAAGGACACCACTAACAAAAAACTACTGAGGAAAAAGGAGAGTAGAGTATAAAGATTCTACACAGAGTTTCTGCATCCTCTCTCCCTACATAAATAACATCTACACATATACAACTACATCTTACCTTGCTTCCTTGAATGCCTTTTGGGCCTGGCTCACCTGGAGGTCCGCTGATACCCTACACAAAAGCCAAAGTATAGAATGAGTTGCTTTTGAAGAGGCATGTGAAGTTTCTTTTGAATTCAGCCTGAACAGGGTACAGTAAAACACAGCACAATGCTAAGCTCTAAAGGACAAGAGTTTTCTGTGTCCTACCCTGGGAAGTGCCCAACACATTGAATATTGTTAATATTCAATAACCAGTGCTGGCAGAAAGGATATCTTACTACTCCATGTGAATTGCATCTGTTTTATCTGAAGCTTTCCGTTCCTTTCTCCTCCTGCTCCTGACTTTGCCATATTTTCATATTCTCTCTTCTGCCCAAGCAAATAAACTAAGCTGTCATGTCCTATTTAGCTCCGTTTGTAAGAAATCACTTCCCCTCATCTCTCTCTGATGATGAGCTGAGATTAATTTTAATTCCCTGACATTACTACAACCATTGTGTCCCCTCACACAAGGAAATAATTAATGGCTCTTTGGAAGAGACAGAGCAGGTAAGGTACTCTGTCTGGAGTGATGACATTTGAGGAGGTCCCTTCACCAATACAGTGGCTGGTATGGTAGCTAGAAAAAAGTAGGTCTGATAATTATGAAGAGCAATAAGATCACAGGATGAATAGATTACACCCAAGTCCGGCGTTAAAGCTTTCACTCTTACGGGAACCCGACTTGTGAGTTAGTGAACATCCCACTGGCATCTGCTGGGCTGCCCAGTTGGGTCAGATTGGTCAGTTGTTGCAACTACCACTAACAGAGCTGACAATCAAAATGAAGTGGAAGCCTCATGAAGTTTTTTAAGTGACTGGAGAAAAAAAAAATCATGAGCTATCAAAAGAATAATACCACAAAATTACAGTTTATTGTAGTAAAAATGCTGGGTCAAATATGGATCATTTTATGCTTATAAAAAGACACAAACTGGCCCAAATGTAAATGTATTGGTTTCATTGCTGACACAAAAATGTGCTCAGAGTGTGTGCATTCTCATTCTTAACTATGATAAACTACAGGAAACACATGACTATCCAAAAAGAAACAAAAATAATCCCTTTCAGCTACCATCATTAATAGCTTTAGTAAATCCTCCAGAATATTGCATTTTGGCTCACAAACAGATATGAAAATTTTGGAATATCTGTGATTTTGTATCTCCCATGGATTTCCAGTCAGAAAAAAAATATTTATTATTTTCTCCTTTCTTTTGCAGCTTTTGCATAAAGCATGCAAAAATGCAATCACACACCTAAGTAACAGTTATACGACCACAAATCAAATGTTGGGGGGAAAACAGTGAATGACATGAATATAGCTAGTGTTCCAAATTATGCTCAAATCGTAACTTTACAAACTAGGGAATAACTGTCTCATAAGAGTACAGTGATGTCCCAAGTGCTGTATTGTGCACAAACTCTCAGTAATATGGCCTTACTCCTTGGTTTATGCATTTTAATTGAGTACTATTTACTAAAAGGAATTTGTATTGTGCACAAACTCTCAGTAATATGGCCTTACTCCTTGGTTTATGCATTTTAATTGAGTACTATTTACTAAAAGGAATTTGTATTGTGCACAAACTCTCAGTAATATGGCCTTACTCCTTGGTTTATGCATTTTAATTGAGTACTATTTACTAAAAGGAATTTGTATTGTGCACAAACTCTCAGTAATATGGCCTTACTCCTTGGTTTATGCATTTTAATTGAGTACTATTTACTAAAAGGAATTTGTATTGTGCACAAACTCTCAGTAATATGGCCTTACTCCTTGGTTTATGCATTTTAATTGAGTACTATTTACTAAAAGGAATTTGTATTGTGCACAAACTCTCAGTAATATGGCCTTACTCCTTGGTTTATGCATTTTAATTGAGTACTATTTACTAAAAGGAATTTGTATTGTGCACAAACTCTCAGTAATATGGCCTTACTCCTTGGTTTATGCATTTTAATTGAGTACTATTTACTAAAAGGAATTTGTATTGTGCACAAACTCTCAGTAATATGGCCTTACTCCTTGGTTTATGCATTTTAATTGAGTACTATTTACTAAAAGGAATTTGTATTGTGCACAAACTCTCAGTAATATGGCCTTACTCCTTGGTTTATGCATTTTAATTGAGTACTATTTACTAAAAGGAATTTGTATTGTGCACAAACTCTCAGTAATATGGCCTTACTCCTTGGTTTATGCATTTTAATTGAGTACTATTTACTAAAAGGAATTTGTATTGTGCACAAACTCTCAGTAATATGGCTTTACTCCTTGGTTTATGTGTTTTAATTGAGTACTGTTTACTAAAAGGAATCTTGCCATTTTGTTTGTTTCAAAAGAAGCAAACTCTACTTCATTCTCTTAGCACCTTGGTGTCATATAAAGAACTAAAATATTTCTTTAAAATCTCTTAGTAGTTGAAAAGCATTTCCAAAAGGGGCTTTGAAAAAATCACATTTTTATAAGCTGTTCTTCCTGAGGTAAAAAATTATGACCATGATGTGAGAGGGACAAATGTCCCAGCAGTAAAATGGCAATGTGCTTGAGGCAGGGTGTGCTAATAGAAATACATAATATAATCTGTTAATATAAATACATAAGATAAATCATTCTCAAGCTCATTGCATGCTATCTTCCTTTTAGTCATTAAGCAGGTTGTAGTTCCCATGGTAATTACTTAGTTCTCATAGCTCAGAATTACAGTAAATCCTTGTAACCATTGATTAGTCCTCTTGTATAGTGGTACATTCATCTGCTTCTGTTTTCCAGCAGTTAGGATTTTTTTTTGTAATGAGCCTTTCAAACCTCAACTGAATGTAGACCATTGTACTATATGACGATATGTAACATCAAGCTCAAAACCAGGATAATGTAGGAGTAATTGCAGTGATGCTGTATATAAAAAGAAAAAAAAACAAATTGATTTTGCCTTAAAATAATCAGGTTATGTCATTGTACGAGGCTTGACTTGCAACAGCAGCTGGTACTTTATAGGGTGTGCAAAACTGAACATATACCGCACGGTGAGTTGAATTTATGTAGGGGAATGCTGATGATTGGTGATCTGATTTGTCTCATTAATTCCTGTCAAAATTGGCCAAAAAACTCTTAGACTCCGTGTGTTTCCATTTTTTAATAAACAAGAATAAATAAGTGTCATCTTTTGGGGCACAGATCACATCTTTACTAATTGCTTACCAAACAGAATTACTGGAGCATAAAATAATAAATTAATAAATTTGTAGCATTATTGCATGTCCATTGCCAAGCAAAAGGAAAGCAGAAAAACATAATTTAAAAACATTGAAAATGGCATTTAGGACTAAATGTTCACATCTTAATCCCATGTAATAAATTTCTGTTACCCTATTATGCCCCCCTTATGTTTTCTTTCGTATAACCCAGAAACAGGCTCGGTAGAGAAGTGAGTGGGCAAGTGCTGGCCTTCATCATTCCACATCACCTATGGATCTACTAGGAGACTGGTATAAGTTCTTGAGATCTCTACTCCATACAGCAGCTCTTTTTACACGTCTACTATGAATTTTTAAACAGAAATTACACAGGTTGTAAGAAACACAAAGACAGCAATAACCCTTTTCAGCAACTGCAAAGAGAGAAGAGGACGATCTGGACTTCTGCGCAGATAACAAATAAATGATCACTGATCTGAGAGTGGTAACAATCTCTGCTCCTAATAACACTGAGACTTTCTCTGACTCATTGCTCAGGTTTTGAAATAATTACTGCAGATTTTAGCCTCTCCAACAAATTTCAGTCTTTCTGGCTGCCTTATGTTTCAAGAAGGACTGTGTACAGCTTTCCAAGATACAGCTGGATGCTGCCACGTAATAGAAGAGGAATTTAGCAAGTAGGGGTATGACAGGGCACGATTATACTCTAAGGGTAAGAGGAGATCTCTGCAGTTGGAGAGCCCAAGTGGGCCACACACCTCTGAGCAGCTTTAAGCAGCAGCAGCAGCCAAGATTTTTTCTTTGAAAATTATTTCCAAAAGACAAAGATTTGCCAGACTCTGCTGTCTTGGTGTCTCATGCACCAAACGTGCTGCTCTCCACAGAGCTGACAGGTTGTATGCAGAAGAACCTTACAGAATATAATGTGTTTTCTTTTTATTTGGTAGCTTTTAGTTCCCTTACCTGAGGTCCCCGAGGTCCCCTAGGGCCAAAAGGACCTTCCAAACCCTGAGGAAAAATAAGATTCAATTATCAGATTAATAGGAAATTGCAATAATCTGCTTTAAAGTATTGAAAACTGCAGTGTACATGTAATGACTCATATCTCTGTTCAAGCACTTTCTAGGGAGTTTGTTCTCTCTCCAGAGTACTGCTGTTCTCACTCTGTATTCAGTAATTGCCTGTTACATTCCATCCTCAATATTTGGTTAAAATAATTTTCATATACAACAAACATTGTGGACGGCTACTTAACATCTTAGCTATTTGATTAACCAGTTGTTATTTGCTACAGGTCTTTAAATTTAATTTCTAGAATTATACTAGTCACAGAATTCTTAAAAAAATGCTGCAGTGCTTACACCAGAATAACTTCAGGTAACTTTGTCTCACTAACTCAAACTGCAGATCAGGAGCATGGCAGAATCACACTAATAGTTCGCAAAAAACATTAAAAAACACATCCAAGAAAAGTAAAATGCCATATTTTTTTATTCCATTAGCTGTCATTTCTCCATTTAATGAGTTCTTATCAGTTACCGCCACCGTAGATTGTTCACAAATCTTTCTCCTGCACTGTTTTTTCTTCAGTCACCAGAATGCATATTCTACGGGATTTCACTTCTAGTTGACTCAATACTCAGTTATAATTTATTTCTAAAGCAAAAATAGCTTTCAGCAAATAGTTTACTGGTCTTTTCTTTCTCTTTCTTCTCTTTTAATTAGCAACATCTCCACACACAGAGGCACTGGCAGACTGCTGCATTTTTCAAGGCATGTGTCACGTTTTGAACTTCTAAAGGCCTTGACGAATTTAGCAGTGATACCTGTGCAGCCACACCCCATCGACTGTCTTCCTCTACAGATTCAGATTCAGAATTTTTTAACAATTCTCTACTCCCTGGCATTTGCTCCCAGGCCAAGCATCAGCCACCAGAGAGAGCAGTTAACCCCATTCCGTTCTAGCCCATTTACAAAACTACACAAACAATGGATGGCACAAACAACGATATGCTGATGCGATGATAGCTACTTTTGGTAGATGTCCTGGTTTCAGCAGGGATAGAGTTAATTTCCTTCCTAGTAGCTGGTACAGTGCTGTGTTTTGGATTTTATTTGGTTAAAATAATTTTCATATACAACAAACATTGTGGACGGCTACTTAACATCTTAGCTATTTGATTAACCAGTTGTTATTTGCTACAGGTCTTTAAATTTAATTTCTAGAATTATACTAGTCACAGAATTCTTAAAAAAATGCTGCAGTGCTTACACCAGAATAACTTCAGGTAACTTTGTCTCACTAACTCAAACTGCAGATCAGGAGCATGGCAGAATCACACAATAGTTTGCAAAAAACATTAAAAAACACATCCAAAAAAAGTAAAATGCCATATTTTTTTATTCCATTAGCTGTCATTTCTCCATTTAATGAGTTCTTATCAGTTACCGCCACCGTAGATTGTTCACAAATCTTTCTCCTGCACTGTTTTTTCTTCAGTCACCAGAATGCATATTCTACGGGATTTCACTTCTAGTTGACTCAATACTCAGTTATAATTTATTTCTAAAGCAAAAATAGCTTTCAGCAAATAGTTTACTGGTCTTTTCTTTCTCTTTCTTCTCTTTTAATTAGCAACATCTCCACACACAGAGGCACTGGCAGACTGCTGCATTTTTCAAGGCATGTGTCACGTTTTGAACTTCTAAAGGCCTTGACGAATTTAGCAGTGATACCTGTGCAGCCACACCCCATCGACTGTCTTCCTCTACAGATTCAGATTCGGAATTTTTTAACAATTCTCTACTCCCTGGCATTTGCTCCCAGGCCAAGCATCAGCCACCAGAGAGAGCAGTTAACCCCATTCCGTTCTAGCCCATTTACAAAACTACACAAACAATGGATGGCACAAACAACGATATGCTGATGCGATGATAGCTACTTTTGGTAGATGTCCTGGTTTCAGCAGGGATAGAGTTAATTTCCTTCCTAGTAGCTGGTACAGTGCTGTGTTTTGGATTTAGGATGGGAACAAAATTGATAAGGCACCGATGTTTTAGTTGTTGCTAGGTAGTGCTTACACTGGCCAAGGACTTTCTAGTTTTCCATGCTCTACCAACTGAGAAGGCTGGAGGTGCACAGGAAGCTGGGAGGGGGCACAGCCAAACTGGCCAAAG